CACATGGCTTTTACATAACAATGAAGATAGGTTCTACCCTCCCCCCCGCCCGTCTTATCGATTCCCCGGGAACCTACGCAAAACTTTTTTATGGTTTTGACCCAGTGTCCATCCTACCTATGAACTGATACTATCCCAGCCAGGCCTGTATCGGCACCCCCCGCCATCCTCTGCAAAAACTACCATGCGCGTTTTCGATTGTCAAAACCATATGTCTTCAATCATCTTTTGGCAAAACTCAGGACGAAGCGCGCACGCGCGCGCCGTGGCGCGCGCATGCCGACATCTTTCAAAAACTCTCGGTTTCGGAAGGAGTTCGAAGGCGAGTGCCAAACAAAACTTACACACACACACACACGCAAGGTCTCGCAACACCGATTTGCAACAAAAGCGTGCGCGCGCGCTCCCGCGGATTCTTAAGAAAACCATCCGTATTGAAGATTCTCACACACTGCTACCAAACAGGCTTCGCGCGCGCATGTCGAAATCGTTCGAACGCCCTTGCGCGTGTGCTGTGGTGGCACGACCCGTGTCAAATAATACCATGCGAGCCACTCTCGCGCGTCTGCCGCGCGCGCATTTCGAATTCCTTCCAAGACCTTCATCACCGACGCGAAGACGCCGCCATCATCGTCGGCGTGATCAGCATCGGCGCCGTCACTGGCTGCCCCGTCGTCGCTGTCAGCATCGTCGCCAGCATCGCTACTATCAACATCGTGTCTACCGTTGTCGACCTTGCCATGATACCGCGCCCGCCTAACTCGCCGACTCGCATTGAAGTGCCCGCCGGGAAATGCCGAGCGGTCAGCGCCACCGCGTTCGCATCGGTCGCGCCAAATTGGCTGACCGCTGCGCGCGCGAGCATGCGCGGGCTAGCGCGGCCACAAAGATGCAGCAGCCGACACCCAGCACTCGTCGCAATCACTCCCGCATGGGTTTTGCAAACCAAGTTGCGGGTGGGTGGGTGGGGCGATTGCGCGAGCAGTGGAGCTGACAACTTCAGGTTCGGCAAGTGGGTTTGTTCTTCGTGCTCAAAAACAATTGAATACACTCTATCCCCCCCCCGGAATGCACCATACATTTTTCGTATCGCAATTTACACATGATTCTGCCCCATCGCCCATCCTAAATATGAGTTCGTACTATCCCAGCCAGACCGGTATCACTCTTCCCCGCCCTCCTCTGCAGAATATACTATGCGCGCACTCTCCTCGTGCTCGTTTATCACGAATCAGACGTTTGCGAAAATCCGCTGCAACAAATGAGACGAAGTGCACACGCGCGCGTCGTCGCGCGCGCATGCCGAAATATTTCAAAAAAACAAAAGGTGATTTCGGAAGGGTTTCAAAATCGAATTTCCAAACAACATGCACGAACACATGGTTTCGCAACACTGATTTGCTAAACAACTTAACGCGCGCGCTTTTGCCCAAGTTTAAGAAAGCCATCGTCTTTCAAGTAATGCAAGAAATGCTACCAAACGGGCTTCGCGCGCGCGCATATCGAAATCGTTCGAACGCCCTTGCGCGCGTGCCGTCGCGAGAATCTTCTGCAAACAACGGACGAAGTGCGCACGTTCGCGCCGACGCGCGCGCATGCCGAATTCCTTCAAAAACTCTCGGTTTCGGAAGGATGTCAAAATCGAGTGTACAAAACACATGAACAAACACATGGTTTCGGAACACGGATTTTCAACAAAAGCGTGTGCGCGCGCGCTCTTGCGTCGTCGTCGTCGTCGCCGTCCTCCCTCCTCCTTTGTCGTCGTCGTCGTCGCCGTCGTCGTCCTCTGTCTTTCCTCGTCGTCGTCGTCATCTTGGCGTCGTCGTCGTTTCCGTCGTCATTGTCGCCGTGGTCGTCCTTCCTCCCTCGTCGTCTTCGTCGGCGTTTCGTTGTTGTCCCTCCTATTTCGTCGCCGTCGTCGTCGTCGTCGTCGTCGTCTTCCCTCCTCCCTCATCGTTGTCGTCGTCGGCGTCGCCGTCCTCCCTCCTTCTTCGTCGTTCGCGTCGTCGCCGTCCTTCCTCCTCCCTCGTCGTTGTCGTCGTTGCCGCCGGCGTCGTCCTCCCTCCTCCCTCGTCGTCGTCGTTTTCGTTGGCGACGTCGTCGTCGTCATCGTCGTCGTCTTCGTCGTCGTCGTTGGCGTTATCGTCGTCGTCGGCGTCGTCGTCGTCGTTGTCATCGTCGTTGTCGTCGTCGTCGTCGCCGTCGGCGTCGTCGTCGTCGTCGTTGTCATCGTTGTCGTCGTCGGCGGCGTCGGCGTCGTCGTTGTCGTCATCGTTGTGGGCGTCGTCGAAGTCGTCGGAGACGTTGTCAGTGTCGTCGTAGTCGTTGTCGGCGTCGTCGTCGTCGTTGTCGCTGTCGTCGTCGGCGTCGGGGTCGTTGCCAAGTGCCATTTGGTACCCACCGTCACGATCTTAAGAGGTTTTGCTAACCAAGTTGCGGGTGGGCGGGTGGGATGTTTGCGCGAGCAGTGAAGTGTACAATTCATTGCGAACAGAAATTAATTGCACGACATCGGTTGCACCACCTATATTGTTCCACATTGTTCTTATCTTATCAATTGCACCACTGAGATTGCACCAAATACTCTGCACAACATACACGCAAATTGTAGGTTGCACAGCAGAGATTGGACAACATAGATTGCACCACATGCTTGTATCCTTACATTCCTTGCTGCACATGGATTGCCCCACTCAAGCTGTAGTACTACATATGTTGCTTCACATAGATCGCACCGCATCGACTGCTAGAAACACCCCTTGTGGTGCCCACATCTTTTTCGCGAACACACATCTGTACGTACACATCCGTACATCTACGGATTTTCTGACCGTCTCCATGCTGCCAGTGTTGGGGGAGGGCCCGTCCTGTTGTTCCCTCGGGGGCATGATGAAGTTGTCTGCGGGGCCTGTTGGGTCGTCTCTGGGCCTTCTTCGGCCGTTTGGGGCCGCTCCGGGCCGCTTCGGATGGCTTCTCTGGGCTCTCTGGACAAAACCGATTGGGCCGTGTTGGGGTTCTCGTCGGTTGTGGGCCGCGTGGGGAGCTCATTGGGGCTCTCATGTCGGGCTTTTTTGGATGTCCTCTGCTCAAGGGGCCCAAGGACACACAAATAAATACACACAAATAACATGACTCCCCATATTTTCCCATATTTTCTGGGTTTGTGTCTTCCCCCCCAGTTCCCATATTTTCCCAAATTTTCTTGGGAGTCGACGATTAATTGTGTCTGTGTGTTTCTTTCCATCCTGATCTGCCAAGACCAGCCCGCGAGCATCTTCCGCGGGATACCGGAGGCAGCGTGTTGGGCTCCGACGGGGGGCTCTGACTTAGGACCCCCCGGTTCTCTGAGCGACGTCTTCGGATGTGGCCTCAACGCGGACTGGACGGCCCCAGAGAGGACCCCAAGGGAGAGCCAGGGCCCCCCAAATTGGAACACGACTGCCACATGAAGCTTCCAGGATGGTCAAGTATCACAGGCCCGCGAGGGCATCCACGATTCCCGCCCGGGCCTGCGCAGGCCGATCCCGAGCGTCGCTTTGGCGGCTGCCTGAAACTCTTTGTTCCGTGGTTTGTTCCTGCAGTTCCGTGGTCAAGACAGTTCGCCGGAGCATCGGTTCTGGATTGGCCGGTGGGGATATGTTTGTTGCTCGCGAGCGCAAGCGGGAGAGCCGCGCGCCGCCACAAGGATGAAGCAAACCGAAATGCCGCGGCCAGCAGCGGCGAGCAAGCAGCAGAAAATTGCAGGCAACGCGCCTGGGCCCAACCGCAGCCCAGAAGTCGAAGACAGCCGAGCCCGCGTGCCGAAGGGTTCGACAGCACCCAACTGCAACGACGTCGTCCTCGACGAACTTCTCTTCAGCTACGCCACAGCATGTGCCGAATGTGGAGCCAGAACACCACCGCCGTCGTCAGGAACAATATCGCGTGTCCACATCACGTAAGACAGCCTCCAAATAAGTGCCAACGAGAATCCTGCATCCGGAGAAACCCCAATCGGCGATGCGTGCCGTCCGATCAGTCGACGCACCACGGACCATGGCCACCGACCGGAACCAGCGTAGAGCGACGGGTGTAAAGGCCACGGTTGCACTGTGGTGGACCCGGGCTGGTGGGGATACTTTTTGTTGATTGGCGGCTCGAAGGACAGATCCAGCGAGTGGGAATATATCGTCTAGGGCACAGAGCGAGATAATTGGCTGCAGAGGCGCATAGGCCGCTGTAGGGAGTGCACATGCCAGGGAGCCGGCGGGGATACTGTTTTTTTTTACAGCCGCAGGCGGAAGCGCCAGCGGCGGAAGGTCGCGAACGGGCCGCGGACGCGCCGGTGGGGATACGCGAAGCATCAATTATTTGCCACTTGCTGCCTTCAAGGCCCAGGGTCCTCCACGTTCCCGCGGCCTGGCACCGTTCGAAGCCATGGCCGCGATGCTGTCCCGAAGGGGTCTGGGATTTGATGTTGGGCAGATTGCCGTTGGAAGTAAGCATGTGCCAACCAATCGGGGGGAAAGAGGGAGAGTGGGGCAAAGAGAGAGGGAGAGAGAGAGAACAAACCAAAACAACGTGTCTGAGCTACCGGGTGCTTGTCCCAGTTTACGCATCCAGCAGCGTGTCGCTGCTCTCGGCGGGGAAATGGGTGCACGATGAGGACGACGAGAGGTACATCGGCACTGCTGTCCGCGAGCGCTCCCATGCGATTGCAGCATCGATGTTCCTAAATCCAAATCAGCGCATTCTAGCCGCAAGAGTTCTTTCTTGTTTCTTGAGAGAGCCACCTTCAACAAGCATGATATTCTTGACTCCTCCCATGGATGACGGCGGCCGCACCGCCAATGCCATGATAGGCCAGGCGGCCAGGCCTCCTCCTTCTCCTCCTTCTCCTCCGCCTCCTCCTCCTCCTCTTCCTCCTCCTCCTCCCTCGTCATCCTCCTCCTCCCTTTCTCCTCCTCCTCCTCCTCCTCCTCCTCCTCCTCCTCCGCTGTGCCATGTCTTGCGCCGCCGTCAGGATCGAGTGCGCGAAGCTGCTCCCGGAGGGTCACACAGTGCACAAACTCACTACTTACTATACAGCGCACCCGCCCCGCAGAGTACGGCACCTGCTGCACCGAAGCTCATGCGCGCCCGCTCGTGAACTGCACCCCCGCCGCCTCGGCAGCCCCTGGCCGGCGGCATCGGCATGCTCCTGGGCCCAGCAGCCTGGCGCCTGGCCGTTCTGTGCCGCCTGGCTGGCGTCGGCAGCTGCCGCGCGCGGGCCCTGGCCGAGGAGCCTGCGCTCGTGGAGCGCCCCGCCTCCCCCCCACCCCCGGGCGCCAGGATGCAACTGAGGGGCCCTGTTTCCACCACCACCACTGCCAAGTTGGAGGGGGAGGGGGGTGTCCTCCTCCTCCCTCCTCCTCCTCCTCCTCCCTCCTCCTGATTCTCCTCCTCCTCCTCCTCCTCCTCCTCTTCCCCCTCCTCTTCCCCCTCCTCCGCCTCCTCCTCCTCCTCCCCCCCATCCAACTTATGGTGGTGGTGGTGGTGGAAAACAGGCCCATCAGCAACTCCTGGGAGGTGAAACTCTCAGCATCGGCGTTGGTGCATGTCCGTGGTCGAAACCAGGTCCCATCTGGCAACCTCCCGCCCGATTCCTGCGAATCCTACCTCGTGCG